CTACCCATGTAGGTTTTTCCTTTGATGATGGTGAGTGAGGAATGCACTTTAGTCTTTTGACCTCCAGTCATCATCACAATGGCCATTTGCTTTGGAATTAGCACCCTTTCTGATATATTCGGTAATTAGCATTTCACAAGATTTCTTTGGGTTATTGAGTTACATGGGCATATACAATGTAAATGTTTTATTACATTATAACGGAAACAGATAAGTGAAAACAATACGAGTAACATTCCAGTAGCTTTCATGAAGTTTAAAACGTTACTCTCTTGGATCTACACTAATACACGAGTGAATCGGCCTATGGCCCTGATCTGACCTGGTCTGCCAGGGTCACATACCACTCCTGCTGTCACTGTGAATGGCGCTAGGAACAGAAATGCACATATGTCAGTCTGATGGCCCCCAATCTGGAATTATTCCAGGTTTTCCATCACTGTCAGTGAGAGTGGGGTTTGTCCTTTGCTTTATGTTCTGTTGCTCCCATTTTATTTTACTCCCCAAAGATGTGGCACTTGGAGACGAGAGAGGTGAGGGGCTTAGAGAATGGTTGTATCTATTTTATTGGTCTCCCAGCAATCTTTTAACACTTACAACCATTAGAAATATTTGCTGTATTTGTGTTGGATAGGTAGGTAAACTGGTTTGAACTATGTAGAATTCTTTCTTAGACAAGTTGTATTTTTTCACCACTAAGTAAAATGGACTTTAGTATATTAGTAAAGAAATGATTACAAATAAATATAATATGGCATATAATAAAAATTGCTAATTACCATAGCTGTGAAAAGACAAACCTGCTCACTTATCTCAGGATAAAAAAAGTCCACAGGAAAGCTCAGTAACTTGCAAGTAATAACAGGAAAGATGCTAATACCAAAAAGCTCAGACCTGACTAACTGAAGGCATAAGCAAGAGAGACACATACAATACAGCATGGAAGCGTTCTGTGAATGCACTTTGAATATCAACGGTACCTCCTTTTCTGTGATTTTTTTTTCATGCCCCTAGCTGACCATAGCAAAATGAACTGCAGTCTGACACTGTTTCTGAGGAGCCTAGATAAGCACCAGTGGATCCTTTACCAGAGTATTACAAGAGATGCAAACAGAGGGATATTTTCTCAGAATTTTAATCAATGATTGTTGTATTCCACATGCTTCAATGCACTCTCAACGCTGTAAATAGGCTGGCTGCCTTTTGTGGGGGTCTGATAGAACATCCCCGTTCTTATCCTGATTTGCTGGCTATGTTACTACAAAGAACCCTTCCTAAAATTATGTTGCAAATGAACAGGCATCAGTTCAGCTGCACTTAAAAAGGAAGTGCCAAAATAAAATAAAGTAGGCCATGAGCAAGTTCAGTGGGATGCCTGTCAAGGATGGCCTATTTTTTTTTTTAAGTGTGGCATAAAAAGGTAACACTACCCTCCTGGCAATGACCATGTGTCTCTGTTATAGCAGGAGACCAACAATGCCTAATGACTGGTAAATAAACAGTTTGCTCCATCTGCTGCTTTGAAGATATATTAAAGAAGCTGTTATAAATTCTGGAATTCTGGATAAAAATTATCTGCACACATGAGGGTTCTTCTGAGGGAGAGCCAGTTTGGGGAAAGGGAGGAGATACACTGCCTGAGCAAAGTTGTCAGGCGACATTATTCCGCTATAAGTCATAATGGTTCTGGGCAGTCACAGAAGCAGAGTGTTCACAGGAGATTTGATACACTGAAGGAAGTTTAGACTGTACTCTCCAAAGCACCCTCCTCCCAGCACTTCCAGGGGGAGAGAGAGAGACCATGGCCCTATTCTTGCCGCTCTCTCATACATGCCCTCTTAGCTCTGCTAGCAGAAACTTCAATTAGCACACCTAGCTATATTAAAGTTTCTCTTTTGTGGGTACTCCGAGGTGCAAAGGAGCTTCTCGTTCTTTACCTAGAAGATCAACTCAGAATCAGCCTAATATGGCCCCCAAAATCAAGATGTGTGGCAAAATCACTGATCTGCTCAATGTGACTTCCAGGTGAGAGGTCTGACCTTGTCTGACAGACAGAGGAAAGGGGACTAGTTGTTTTGGAGTTGAGCTCCAGTGGTGATGCTAAGATCTATTTCACCTAGTGCCTTCCATGTGTTCCCTTTCTATTACTGCGACTTGGAAAAATAGAGCAAAAATACTGGAGTTAATTGTGAAAAAAAAGCTGCTACATTTTTGTTGGGTTTAGAGAAAGGCATGCAGCAAAATACTTGTATTTCTAGAAGAGCTATGGATGTGTTAAAAAAACATGATAGGATTAATCAGTAACATCACAACTAGTTACCCAAAGGCTATGTTCTAGCTTGGGGCCTTGAAGAGCATTGGTCTGAAGGTAGATCCCATTTGCCATATTCCGACCTAAGGGCTATCTATGCCTAAAAATATCTTATTTGGTATGAACAACTAAGGAATGTGTTCAAGATATTTAGTGAAGTGAATGTCACTATACAATGTCCTTTGGGCAGAATATTGCTTTCCAGCAGTGAGTCACTTGCCGGAATAACATGCACAGTAAACTATTGTCCTTTAAATTGAAGTACTATCAGATGTGCAGTATAATGCAGATAGTATTAATCTACTTTAATCATCCTTCAAGTGCACAATACACTAATTGTGCCCATTCAGGAATATTTTTCCTGTTTAATTTAATAACAGGTTGTGTCACACATTAATTAAAATGTTATACAGATATTTAAACAGACTAATCGATTTCTGTGTTTGGTTGTCGCAGTGTAACATGTAGTCTTCTGAACAGTACCCACAAAACTCAATAGGAAAAGCTCTGTATTGCACCATAAAATGCAATGCATTTCTCAGTACCTAAATATACATATTTTAATCTGGATATACAGCCAAATTCCACACTGACTTACTCTGTGTATAATATAGGGTGTATAAAAAGCGACAGAGTCCTGTGGGACTAACAGACGTATTGGAGCATAAGCTTTCATGGGTGCATACCCACTTCGTCAGATGAATGTAGTGGAAATTTCCAGAGGCAGGTATAAATATGCAGGCAAGAATCAGTCTGGAGATAACGAGGTTAGTTCAATCAGGGAGGATGAGGCCCTCTTCTAGCAGGTGAGGTGTGAACACCAAGGGAGGAGAAACTGCTTTAGTAGTTGGCTAGCCATTCACAGTCTTTGTTTAATCCTGAGCTGAGGTGTCAAATTTGCAAATGAACTGAAGCTCAGCAGTTTTTCTTTGAATATTGGTCCTGAAGTTGAATATAGGGTGTATAACTGAAGAAAATTTGTCCCAGTTTCTCTAAATTCAGATAACCAAGTATGTACATGTTCACCCTAGTATCTGAGCAAACAGTTCTGATTTACTTCCTCCTTTCTACCCTGCTCATTAAGATTTGATGTAATGAAGCAGTCGACACCGTTGCATCGTGTTCATTAGATATCAAACCCTAAATGCCAACCATTAAAGTAAGCACTCCCCAAAAAAATGATATAAACAAATAATGGAAGCTTGGACCAAACATTTTCTCTTATGGATAGAACTTTTAGCGACCAAGATGACATTTCCATTTAGTGTATTGTATTTGGCTGACACATGGCCATAGTACATTGGATCTGTGCTATCAAGATAGAGAAGTGCAGCCCTCCATGTATACTGGGACGCTCACTCATCTGCAGTTCGCTCCTCTGAATCACTTTGTTGGATTCCCTTTAATTTGTCCAAAAAATTTTCTCCAACATTTCCCATGGTTGGTGAAGGTAGAGGGGAGCTATAGAAGAAATGATTTTGGTGAAGTAAGGGATTGTTTCCCTGGATCCTGATAGGCATGGGCAACTCCCAGTTGTGAACATGTGGTAGACACATAATGCTGCAGTAAACAACCATCATACTTCTCGACTCTTAATGGCAATTATAAACCAAATCCTTTTTACTCATTTCAGTGGCCATATTCCTTGGCTCCTAAGGACAAAGATCTGAGCTTTGTTTGGGGTTGAGAATATGTTTCAGGTGTCTGGGCACTATGCACCAAACTCTGGGTCTCTTCACTTTTGCTCCTAAAATAGGTGCATAATAATTTGATCAGAGTGACAGTACTTCTTTGTGTTACAGTGCTGGCAGGTAGTGTGGCCTTTCAAAATTCTCACAGATCCTCCTTCACAGATGACACATGCCAGAAGCATAAATACTCCAAGCAGAGGAGGTTGCATGGCTCCTGAAAATAGATCAGGGGGTTCTGGCCCTGGTTCTAATCTAAGACCAGCACATAAGCATATCTTACATTCCATCAAAGTCAATGGGTGTTAAACACAGGCTTAAAAGTTAAGCAAGTGCTTTTTCTGAATCCGGGTCCTCTGTGCTGAAAGAAGTAGACCCATAAACGTTCACCCCAGAATTCCGCTCCATGGCTCAATGTCCCCAGTTTTGAAGAAGCAAGATGTGGGGTATAATAGTTGTGTCCCCCAGTTCCCTGCTTGATCATGGTTCCATGGATGCGTGCGAGTATCCTGGAACCAGAACTCTAGTTGCTAAAATGGGAGAGTGAAGGTAAGTAGAACATGACAGGAATGTTCTAAAAAGAAAAGGAATGAACAGAAAAGCTCACTCATGCTTATACTTCTTACATGCTGCTTTTATTTTCATGGAGAAAAATGGTTATTAAGTCAAATGAATATAAAGTAGAAGAAGAAATACAAATAATGCCTCTCTTCTACGTCAGTCGCGAATGGGTTTTAATACTCGTAGTTTCTATAGAAACTCAATTTTGAAATATTAGTTCTGTTGTGCTTAAAGATAATATGTTAAACATTTTCTATATACTAGATATAAAAAGGAGAAGTATTCTACCCCTAAGAAAATATGGTGTGTAATAAAATACATTGTTTGATCACAATATTCTCATGCTTATTCTGATCATTGGATGGGATATGTGTATGTAGGTATGTCTATATGTATGTAAACCTGTGTGTATCTTTTTCATATTTTTAATTGCCTGACAGATATTTCCAGGACTGATTCTCTCAGACATAAAGCCTGCCAAAAGAATGAAGTTCAAAACAGTCTGCTACCTGCTGGTCCAGCTCATGCATTGTCGTAAGATGTTCAAAGCCGAGATACCTTTCTCCAATGTCATGACATGTGAGGATGATGATAAGGTAATTAATAAGGTTTCTCTGAGGTCCTTGAATGTGTGCTTTTAAAATGTCCGTTGCTCCATGTTGTCTCACAAACTAAACCAAAACAGGTTATTACTACATAAGTGCTGTCAATATAATAAACCCTTGTCTAGAAAAAATTCCCCATCGTTGCTAATATGGTTTTTGCTCAGTAGGTAATAGCAGCTTTAATCCTGAGGCAGCCACAGGTGCCTTATCTGTACATTTCAAGCACCAGGTAAATTAGAGCATAGTAAATTGACTTGGCTTTTGAAAAGGCAAATGGCACCAGGCATCCTGTCTGTGCTAGGGATCCCAGTGTTCCCACTAGTCCTGGAGCTGAACTGCTAGCAATGATGAGAAACTTTTGCAGAATTTCCCCAGTATAGACAAAGCTTAAGTGTAGCAGATTTCAGGTGCAGAGTCCCCCATACAAGTGCGTGCACACACATCTCACAAGTGGCTACCATCTGGGACTTGTCCTTCAGAAAAGAGTCCCTGAGGCCATTGCAGAAATTTCAAAAAGCTGTTTTGCAAATCCCTGGAGTCCTCCACAGTTTTCAGCTGATAGCACTGTACATTCAGTAGCATACAGAAAGTAAGTATATTTGTATGCCTATATATTTCTATATGAAAATGTGAATGGTAACCATGAATCATAAAGCTGATTTGGTGTTAAAACCAAAAGATTGGAAAAGTTGTCAGATCATTTATTTTGCCAGTAGGTGGCAATGTTACATAGTTTACTGCTTGTATGTCAACTGCTGTAGAACAGGAAGGTCATTCATTGGGATTTGAACTATGTCTTGGACTGTCTCTGATATAAACAAGATACATTTTGAAAAACGTCAAATCTGTCTTTATGGCAGTATTAGAACTTTCCTGTTCGTGAAAATTTTGTTTCTCCCAGTACTGACAGAAACACAAAAATTTAAAAAGCAGCTCTTTTTGGTTTAAATCTCTTATTGCGGCCTTTATTTACCATTTATAGAAATAGCGTAACTCACATAGTAACTCACACATGACATCATTGCTCTGAATTACGTCTTTTAAACGCTCTTTGAGTATTTTGAAAAATCTGTTTATTCTATAAAAGTTATGTGACAATTTAGTCTTTTTTTGTGTGTGCATGTATACATAGTATACATACAAAACCTATAGTATGTTAGGGAACTGGCTTAAATTCCCCACAGTCAGAACATTCAAAGTCACTGCTATAATGTTATATTTAACTAACCTAGTTGTGTGTCAAGTGTTTGCAACTCATATGGGACTCTTATCTCAGGGAACATGATGTAAAAGGTTAATTTATACAAACCAACCTGCTCTCCAGGCTTCCTTCAGAGATCATTATTCCTTAAATTATGAAAGCCATATACAGCTCAAAACTCTTTGAAGCTGGCCCAGTATTATCTGCATCTGTGCTACAATAAAGTTAAAAAAACTCTCTGACAAAATACTTTACCTTGCAAAAACTTGAGACATCATGAAAGTCTGTAACATGAAAAAAGAGGTAAAATGCATGTTAGAAAATAAATGAAAAAGTAGGTATATGTGCACAGTAGCTGATTTTATGGGCTAATAGCTCACTCCATTTTAATTCTCTTCAACAGAAAACTCAAACAAAATCTAGGTCACTTAATTGAAAAAACAGCCTGCAAAATTTAGTTTAGAAAGCAAAACTATTAGGCACCAAAATATAAGCATCTGAAATGACGCATCTATTTGTAGGTGTTAACCGGAATTTTAACTACATGTTAACATAGTGGCCCTTCAGATTACATGCTTATTCAATATATTAAGCTCAAAAGGCAAAACTCAAGTAGGTATTTTAGCTGTGTCATAAGCATTTAGCACCAATACTATAGTGTAAATATGAGAACAAGAAAACAGTGAGAGAACTGAAAAGATATTTTATTTATGCTTTGGACTCTCTTCCAGTACTTATCAGGGACCACTCCTGAACCAATCCACTGGTCTGTAGTATTTCCTGACTGATCACTAGCTTCATATATCTACTTTACAGGGAAGTCTGCTTATGTGTGTTAGGCTTGGTCCACACTGGGGCGGGGGATCG